AAACACAGGCCAGGGACAAGAGCAGCATCAGGTGGTTCCATCTTCCACACTTCAGTCTTCTCCCCCAACTTCTTGCTACTTACATAACCACCACTTTCTTCCATCTTCTTATTAACTTTTCATCTTTTCAAAACCTTCTTTAGCCAACTGAAATGCCCCTTTTCTGTATATTTGATACTTATTATTTTTACTTTAGTATGTACTATAATTTTTGTTTAGTATATACTTTTGTACTGTATTGTATTTCTTATATATTTCCTTTTATCCTAAATTTTCTTCTTTTTACCCCCTGTCCCATATTGTTCTTTCTTTCTACCTTCTTTCCTTGCAGAAACAGCATCAGGTGTACATCATTATGTATTTGTTGAATACATATGCTAAATAACTTTCCACACTGGTAACAACACTGGCCTCAGTATCTCGGAGCTGGAAAAGTTCAGTTTTTTCACTATTATAACCTCTATTTATCCTTTTGGAAAATCTTCCTCCTCCTTTGCTGTATTATTCTAAATTGCCACAGAAAAGTTGTAACATAGATTCTAGCATCCTGAAGCAATAGATTCTAGGAGAACAGACAGCTAATTCACAAATGGGAGAAACCAGAAGGAGAGGTTAAAAAATGGAACTGGTTTTAATATCACTGTAATCCTTAAATGACAAAAATTTCATACACTGAACATCCTGCCAACATTCTATTGACAAAGGAGGATGTGAACCTAAAAATTAATCTTACAAACCTACACTGGGTTTATAATTACTTTCCCACTTGCGTTCTTCTTTCTCTAATGCTTTTCTCAGCTAACTGAAAAGAGGAACAGTATGTTTTTTTTTTATTTTAAACAAAGTAGCAAAAGAGGAAACAGTTTTGGCTGAAGACAATTCATGGCCTGTATCTTCTGTTGCTTTCGATAGCTTTTTTTTTTTTTTAATGAAAATGAAACTGTGAACAATAATGTTTTCTACTGAAACCCCTCGCTTTCCTTTTGTAATCTGTAAAAATAATGAGGAGGAACTGAATGGATGATGACCATCTAGAGATGACCCAAAATTGCAACTGTTTTCCCTATCAAATCTTTTGCAAAAGGGGTAAAACCAGAATTTATTGACTTGATTTTATTGTCTCTGTTTATATCCAGGCAGAAGTATTAATAAATAATAAAAAAGTTAAATGAAAATGAACAAGTCCAATATAGGTAAATGTTGATCAAGCCCCTAGTTATATCTCTACTATACATCTATCTATCACTACACAGTAGAGGAATCAAGATGCAGTACAGTTTAGTAGAAAGAGCATATGATTTGGAAACTCATGATCCTGAGTACAAATTCCTAACTTATTACTAATAGTGATTTATCTTGGACAAATAGTATAACTCATTCAAATCTGTCTCTTGGTCAGTAAAACAAAGATACCTCCCATCCTCCTCAGTCATTAAAGGTTTTAAATGAAACAAAATTTCAAAATGAAAAAAAAACACCAGGTGTGGTGGTTATGTTTGTGTGTCATCTAGGCTGGGCCTGGTTGAGTGGCTGGGCAGCTGGATGTAGTATTCCCCATGATGAGACTGGTAATCAACTCCATGGTGGAATGTACTATGAGCAGCTGAGTAGCTGCCTTAGGGATGTGGTCTGCTTCTTGAATATAAGGAGAAGCCTTGGGGATGGTCTCTAGCTTATAGCATGCTTGAACCCTGCATGTAGTCACATCGTTGTTCAGCAGCCTGCCATGCTCTTCCGACCTTGGGACTTTCAAAGGACTTGAATTAATGGCCTGCCGTGTGGTTTGGTAATATGGGGACTGTGCCTTTTTATTACCTGTCAACTTTGGGTGTATCAGTCGCAGCAGCCATCAGCTGTCTGAGTGAAGAAAAGCCTCTAAGCTTCAGCGGGCCAGGAGCAGAAGGCAGAGCTGAAGCCCAAGGTCAAGGGGCTTTCACCCAGCCCCTAGAGCCTAGCACTTTGCACTCGGACTAAAGCCTCCAAACTGTAAGAGAATAAACTCCTGTTTGTTAAGGCCATCCCATTTGTGGTATATATTCTTGTCAGAGTGGCACTAGGGAACCAAAACATCAGGGGTGGTCCAGCAAAGCATATGTTCTAGATAAGTATTTCTTTTCTTTCTTCATTCTTTCTGCTTTGTTCAGAGTTCTTTAGAGTCCCATTTGAGGGGGTGGGAGTCATTCAAAGCAAATGAAAAGTAATAAACATAATTATTTAAGAGAATAGAAGAGTGACTGGGGTATACGTATTTTGAATTATCTAAGGAACCATAAAGACAGTAAAAACTAGGGCGATTCAGAGAGTTGATCTGTTTGGGCTGTGGCCGGCCACAGAGAACTTGGTTTAAGAAGGGGAATTGAAGCTGCGGTTCGAAAGATGAGAACGAGTTTAGATAGGCAGTTAGAATAGGGAAGAAGAGTCTGGGTTTGGAAAAAAGAACATATTCTGGGTAGGTAAAAACCAGCATAATTAAAAGTGTGTATTTTAGAAGTAAGTAAGGTAGGGAAGGGGTGCAATCTGGCCAGATAAGAAGTTTTAATCACAAGACTGAGTCTGAACTGGTAAACCTAAGCCAGATGGAGTGGAGGAAAACTCAGAAAATAACCATTTAAAGAGTTTAGGATTTTAGCTTGAAGGTAATGAGGAACTCTCAAACAGGATTATACATGTATTGAAGGTTAATTCATCAGTGGTATATAGGACAGTGTAAAGGACTAGCAATAGAAAAAGTACCCAAACATGCTATTTGCAAAACTCAGGGAGTGGGGGACTCCTTTTATCATACCGTGCAACAGGACATCACATCTGCCTTAGATTGGTCTACAAATCATAGTGTCTCTAATCATGCCTCACTACATATATACCAGGATCTAACATCTGGAGATTTTTCTTTTCCTAATGTTAGTAGTACTCGGAAGGAAGGTTGGGCAATCTACTTCCATAGTGATACTGTCTCAGAAACCCAAGGAGGGGTCGCTATGAGCTGGATCCGACTCTACGCCCGTGGGTTTTTGGGTTAATGTTAGTAGTTTGGGGGAGGGGGCAGCAACTCACGACTTAGCATAGCTCCTCACTTTAGAGCGGAGGCAACTGAGAAAAGGAGATTAAGTAACTCTTTCTCTTGGTTATATAGGTAGTTAAGTGGTAAAAGTATAACTAAACTAAACTCTTCAAGTTTCAGCATCTACCACATCCCACAATAAAAGCCCTACTACCTGCCAGACTTACACAAGTGCCTTTTCTCTTTCTGTGCCCTTATGTGTTCTTTCTGGCTGGAATATTTTGTTTGCTTAATTAATTCTTACAGATCTTTTAAGATCCATTGAAGTTTTACTTTCTTTGAGAATCCTTTCCTGGTAACTTCGCAGGCTAGATTAGTTTCTCTGTATATTGCCTGCATATCTTTATGAGAATACTTACCAAGTTATTATAATGAATTACCTGTTTGTTTCTACCATTAGAATCTAGAAAACCTGAAAGCAGCAGCTATTTTATCTTTTTTTATCTTCTAAACCTACAACAAGACCTGGCACAAAATGGTGCTCATCAGTAAATGAAGGACAGCAGCAGGACTATGTGACCAGCTGGATAGGATAGATTCGACCAAATTCAAAGATTCTAGGACTTTAGCCTAGAACTTTGGTTGAACTGAATCTTCCAAAAATATGAGATTCTAACACAGTACTGTTATACAATGAAGATGAAGCAAAGATTACTAATACAATAGACCACATGCATAAGAAACTTAGAAAGGTGGCATCATTAACCAAAATACAGAAGTTGGGAGAGAAGTCAGTTGAGGTGAATATGAATTCAATTTAAAACATGTTGAACTTGCTATTAGTGGGATACATATGTGAGAATGTCCACCAAGAAGTCACACAAATGGAAATAGAACTAAGGAGAAGATTTGGGCTGGATATGCACTTTTAGGAGTTAAGGCATAAAGATGACAGTTGACTTCCTGTAGAATCAGGACCAAAGAAAAAGTAGATGAGATGAGAGTGGAATAATAAATATGTGTAGTGAAGAAGCAGAAGAAAAAGAGTAAGAGTAACATGGAAGGAAAACTATTACAAAGAGCAACTTGAACAGTAGTGAAGAAACAGTTAATAGTGTCAAACACGATCAAAAAGGGCAAAGAAAAAGAAAAAACCACTGGATTAGGTAATAGATGGTCATTAGCATCCTTCAAGCAGCAAGATTCATATATTTCTAGCAGCTAAGGGCAAAGAGAGAGAGAATGCATGTGCACGCACACATGCACGCACACACACACACACGTATATAGCACATAATGTCTATGTGTTTGAGAAGTTTAACTGTGATTGAAGAATTGTAATATAATCAAGCTGGAGGAGCAGCAGGGCCAAGAACAGATTTTACAACATTAAGAGAGGCCCAAAAGCTGTATGATCGGTTAGCGTATACTCCAGAGTTGTTTATACTAGTATACAGTAGGAACTTCAGGCTTAGGAATAATAAGTATTTATTAAATACCTACCTACTTTGTTCCAGGCATTGTAATGAAAAACTTCTGTTTGCAGGGCACTGAGTTTATGCTAATGGTGGTGGAATATTTTAGAAAAGAATAGCAATAACAAGCTCTGGTGGCATAATGTCTCAGGCATTTGACTGCTAACCAGAAGGTTGGTTGTTCAAACCCACCAGCCACTAGGTGGAAGGAAGACTGGGCAATCTATTTCGGTGAAGATTTATCACCTTGGAAACCCAAAGGGGGTTACTATGAGTCACAATCAACTCAATGGCAGTGAGTTGAGAATGGTGACACAACATGAAAAATGTCATCAATGTCCCTGAGCTGTAAATGTGGAAGTTGTTATGTTGGTGAATGTCTTGTTGTGTATGTTTTCACCACAATTAAAAAAAAAAAAAAAAGTCAAACATAACACCAGACACTAATTGATACCTAATTGTCTTGTCTTTTTTTTCTTTTCCCCCTTTCATTATAAAACTGCTGGTAAGGAGGAAAAACTGAAATGGATCTCAAACATTTCATCTTAATTTTCTTATGTGGTTATCTGAACAATGCAGTTTTCTCAGAGACAGAGGCAAGTACAACAGAGATGCAGCCAAAGTCTACTTTACTTAGATCATCAGTGTCAAATGCCTCAGCTAGTTCTCAAAATGGAACAGGGAATCCTTTGAGTCAACCAACACAAGTCAACAACATTTCTTCTGGACAACCAACACCATCTACCAAAGTCACTGCAAGACAACCCTTACCAGCTACCTATGCCACTTTTGGAAAGCTAACAGCACACACTTCCGCTGGGCAACCACTTGCCAGTAACATCACCAGACAACCATCACCAATTTCCAACTCTTCCCAACGAACAGCACTACCTGCATTCACATCTGCTGGACAACTACCACCATCTGCCCATACTTCCACCAGACAACCACCACCACCATTTGTCTACACCTCTGCTGAACAGGTATCATTACCTGCTCACACCTCTTCTGGAAAATCAATTCCATCAACTGTTCATAATCTATCCATACAATCAACTTCAAATGTCAAAATTTCACCCATGATTACACCAGTTTTCAATATAGAAATCACCAGAAACAAAAAAGCCCCACATAAAACAAAAGCTAACTCAATAGCTGCTATATTAATTGGTGTAATTCTGACTTCTATGTTGGTAGTTATAATGATGATTGTACTATGGAAATGCTTGAGAAAACCAGTTTTAAATGACCAAAATTGGGCCGGAAGATCTCCCTTTGCTGATGGAGAAACACCTGACATATGTATGGATAACATTAGAGAAAATGAATTGTCTGGAAAACGTACATCAATTGTTTCACTTATGACCTGGAAACCAAGCAAAAGCACACTTTTAGCAGATGACTTAGAAATTAAGTTGTTTGAATCAAGTGAAAACCTTGAAAATTCCAACAACCCCCAAACAGAGAAAATAAAAGATCCAGTGAACGGGACCTCGGAGGACAGCGCTGGCGGATCAACCATCGGCACTGCTGTCTCTTCTTCAGATGATGCAGATTTGCCTCCACCACTTCCCCTTCTTGATTTGGAAGGACAGGAGAGTACACAATCTGAGAAACCCACAATGACAATTTTATCTCCTCTTCCTAATGATTCTACCAATCCCTCCCCATTTCTGGACTGTCTTAATCAAGCCTGTGAAGATCATAATTCTGAGATCAAACAGTCATTTCCAACTCCCCCTGACTCTGTTAACTTGCCCTCACCACTACATTTCATGAAAACCCAGGAAGAGTCCAACAATGAAATCCAGTGTCATGGGTTCTCTACTCCTCCTATATCTGATCAAGATCTCAATGAATCCCTGCCACTTCCACCTGCAGAATTATTATAAATACTACAACTTGCTTATGGCTAATTTTCTATTCTTCTTAAAGAACCTTTTATTTTTCTTCATGTGATGAAATGTATAAAATAGCAACTGGTAGGCAATTTTGATTTTCATTCAGGAACCACCGGAGAACAGCTCAAAGACCATGTACTTAGTGAAACTCATTTTTTCCTTTAACTGATTTTTTTGCCGTAAGTTTACATAGCAAGTTGGGTTCCCATTTGACAATTGCCACACAGATTGTTCAGTGATATTAGTTACATTTATCACAATATGTCAACATTCTCTTTAATTATGCTGTTTGTTCCATTTCCAGTACTCTAGTTTTCCAGCCCCCTTATTGCCTCATCTTTGCTTCTGAGTAATTACTGACCTTTTGGTTACATATTGATAGTTTTTAAGTAGATAATCTATCCTATGGGTAATAACTTTTATTTTGGATGGCTCCCAGCTATTTCTCTAAAGTGTGATCTTGGGGGAAAAAATCTGGTTCTAGCTCTAAAGAGTATCTCAGGGCATTTGTCTCAGGGAGTCCTCTGTTCTCTACTGTTTGTCTTTTTTTTTTTTTTTTTTAAAGTAAGAATTTGAGTTCTGCTCCACATTTTACTCTCATTCTACCTGCAACCATCCACATGACCCCGGTCAAAATAGTCAGTGGTGGTAGCTGGGCACCATCTAGTTCTTCTGGTCTCAGGGTAGGTGAGGTTGTGGCTCATGTAGACTTGTTTTTTTCCTGAGCTTTTGGTTACCTTCTTACTGTCTTGTTCATGGCAACTGGAGACTCGTAAGTTGTGTCTCACATGGTCACTCACAGCGTCTAATACCTGAGATACTACTCACTTTGTTAGGATGCAGATCATAATTTCTGTGAACTATATTATGCCAAGTGACTGAGCTGTCCCATGAGATTTCAAACAACTACAATGTCAAACCCAGAAAATTAATCTTGGAAAGTGTGTGGTTTTGTCTGTGGAGTATCTGTATTTGTGTGTTTGATGAATTTATGTGCCTACCCACATATTTGTTTGTGTGTACCTATAGTTATTTCTATCTGTTCTCACCTATATACACATCCATACCTATCCCTGTATTAATATTCTTTATACATCCATATGTGCTCAAATACTCATTTTTACTTTGATTGTACTATGCTCACTACATCCACACTTAGCACCACTTTCCCCACCACTGAAATAAATAAATAAACAAAATAACAAGTCTCTATGATCTAAAACATACTTTTCCCTCCTCCCTCCTCTCTTTTGGTAACCACCAATCTCTCTACCTATTCTTGTTTTAAGGAAGAGTGAAGAAGAATTGATGATTTGTGTTGGTGAAGAATATTTAACATACCATGGGCTGCCAGAAAGGCAAACAAATATGTCTTGGAAGAAGTATAGCCAGAATGCTCCTTAGAAGGAAGGATAGTAAGACTTCCTCTTGCTTACTTTGCACATGTTATCAGGAGGGACCAGTCCCCTGGAGATGGACATCATGCTTGGTAGAGGGTCAGTGAAAAAGATGACGACCCTCAACAAGATGGATTAACACAGTGGCTGTAACAATGGGCTCAAACAGCTGAGGATGGTGCAGGACAGGGCAGTGTTTCTTTCTGTTTTGCATGAGGTTGCTATGAATCAGAACCAAGTCAACAGCACCTAACAAGCAAAGTTTGTCTTCTTATAAAAGAGGTCTCATACAGTATTTTTCCTTATATGCTTGACTTACTTCACTTACCATTATATTTTCCAGGTCCATCCATTTTATGTTAGGTGAAATTTAATTTTTAAAAAATTATAATAGTAAATAAATAAAAAAAAATTATAATAGTGATCAAGGTACTGGCTAGAATACCTACCTTTAAAGTATACTGTGCTACATTTTACATATGAAAATGGTATGCATGTCAATAACAACCATTTTGGAAACAAGCAATCTCTATACATACTTTAACATTATCCAACAGATATATATATATATATATATATATATATATATATACACACACACACACACATACACACACACACATACACACATACACACACACATATATACACACACACTTTTTCTTTTTTTTTTCTTGAAAAGCTGTATGTAAACTTACCTTGAATAAATAAAATACTATTTGTTACATGTCAGAGTTTGGGGTGGGGGTTGGGAAGGGAGAGGATGAGATTAAATACATACTTCTAAGTTGTAAAATAATACTCCAAGTAGTAAAAAACTAAGTTTGTGAGGATGAGAGATTAAAACGCATGCTTGAGAATAGAGAAGTTTCCTTTTCAGTCTCATAGGAAACAGTAAAACAAACAAACACAGAGAAACATAAAATTGGGTGTTGGGTTGGGGATATTTACCCTGAAAAAAATACAGGCAAGCACCATAAAATGTAGACACTTTCCTATCTTGTTGGGGGAAGAACAAATTTTAAACTATCCTCAAAAAAGCTTCTTCTTTAGTTGCCAGAGGCACCCAAACAAAATGAAATTTTACAAAGGAAAAAACAAAATCTTGACAGCTTCACTCAGAATCTGATTTTTTTTTTTTTAAAGAGAAATTCTTTGCCAGGGGAGGAAAGTAATTCACATTTACTGCAGGCGATTTCCCCCCACTGAGGTCAGTGGAAGCTGAGCAGCCAAACAGTGGCAATCCTTGCTTAATCAGCACAAAGAAATGCAAGATAGAAAGACAGGACAGAAGAAAATACTAGAACAAAGTGAAACCTGCCGAAAAGATGGCAGAATCAGGATCCAGATGAGAAAGTTTATCTCATAAATATGGCCAAAATGAACAAGAAGCAGGGGAACTAAAAGAAGACTAACTACATACTGGATGGTTACCAGTTGTGCTTTTAACAGATTAGTATTAACCAGATTCAAAAAATACCCAGAAGACCATTTAGTTCAACTCCTGTTTGATAGCTGAGAAAACAGGCCTAGAGAGTGAGCATCTTGCTTGCTGTCACGTGCCAGTGAGTCTAATTCTAACTCAATGCGACCCCATAGGGCAGAGTAGAACATCCTCCCAGGGTTTCACAGGCTGTGACCTTTACAAGAGCTGATTGCCCAGGCTTTTCTCCCAAGAAGCTATTGGTGGGTTTGAACTTCTGACCTTTTGATTAACAGCCAAACACTTAACCATTGTGCCATGAGGGCTGCTTGTGACCTGTTTAAAAATAAAACAAAAACCAAACTTGTTGTTGAGTTGATTCTGACTCACAGTGGCCCTACAGGGCAGAGTAGCACTACCCCATAGGGATTCCAAGGCTGTAATTTTTACAGAACCAGACTGCCACATCTTTCTCCCACAGAACAGCTGGTGGGTTCAAACCACTGACTTTTGGGTTAGTGGCTGAGTGCTTTAACCACTGTACCACCAGGGCTACTTGTGTGACTTGCTTCCAAAACTCAAATTCACTCCCACTGAGTCAGTTCCAACTCATAGGGATCCCCACTGGGCTTCTAAGGCTGTAAATCTTTATGGAAGTAGACTGTCCTATCTTTCATCCACAGAGTGGCTGGTGGGTTTGAACCATCAACTTTTTGGTTAGCAGCCACATGCCTTAAACACTACCGTAGGAGAACTACTATGACTTGCTTAGGTGGTCCTAAAAGCCAAACTTGTTTCTTAACTCACAGTTTAACATTCTTATCATTAATACAGGACTAAAGAACACCTACTTAATGTACTGAAATATACATATATAGAAAATCAAATTCACTGTCATTAAGTCAATTCCAACTCACAGTGACTCCGTATGACAGCAGAACTGCCCCATAGGATTTAAGGCTACAGATCTTTACAGAAGCAAACTGCCACAACTTTCTCCCACAGACAGATCTGGTGGGTTTGAACCACTGATCTTTTGGTTTCAAGCCAAGTGCTTTAACCACTATGCCATTGAGCTCTTTAAAATTCACAGTTTTCACACATATATTTGGTGCCGGTGGAGGGTGCACAATGAATTATATGTAATTTTTGTTATTATTTAAACCGAAGGAAAAAAAAACCTAAACTCACTGCCATCAGGTTGATTCCGACTTATAGTGACCCCCACTGGTTTCTGAGGTGGTAATTCTTTATGAAAGTAGATTGTCCAGTCTTCCTTCCATGGAGTGGCTGGTGGGTTGAACCACCAACCTTCTGGTTAGCAGTCTGATGCCTTAGACACTGTGCTACCAGTACTGATCAAAAATAAAGTGACAAAATATTTGACTATCTATAATTAAAATACTGTGTATTTAGTATTTAGTAATCATACTAGTGTATGATTAGACAGTCATATATCAATGGTATAGAATAAAAGTCCAGAAATAGGCTCAAACCTCAAATCAGTGGAAAAAGTATGGGGACAATTGGCTAGACATTTAGCAAAGGATAAAATTGGATTCATACTTCACACTACATTAGGATAAACACCAAATTGATCAGAGATCTAAATATAAAACATGAAATCATACAAATGATAGAACAAAACGTGTGAATTCCTTTATGACCTAGAAGTGAGAAAAGCTTTCCAAGCTGAGACTAAAAATCTGACGCAAAAAAAAAAAGAAGTAAACTCCTACATGAAACTTGTAAATACAAAACAAAAAACACCGCCACAAAAAATCCACTCAAGTCAACAGATAAAACCAGAAAAAAAAAAAGATCTGCAACTTTATAAGTACTAACATTTCTCAAATAATCTCCTACATATACTGCATTGTCAGTGAAGGCAAACACGGGTATATGGGTGGATAGATGGGTGGACAGGCTGAACTATTAGGTATGTTTATGCTGCAGCAGGGAGTGTACCCAAGACCATGTACAGGGTTGGCAGACAATGGTTCTACAAGTGTATTTGTATGTTCTTTAAGAATTCCTAGGGGTATAGTAGAGCTAACAAGGGACAAGGGACTGAGCAGTTGAACCTGTGGGCTCGGGACCATAGTCGCAGGGGACATCAAGCTCAATTGGCATAATATACTGCACACAACACTGTTCCACCTTCTACTTTG